TTTTTCTCCTCGTCCACTCTGATTTATAGACTTTCCAGCTGTGTGCGAGCACGTTACGATGCTAAACGCGGTCCGTTGTGCTCGTGTGCTTGGTATCTGGCTTGATGGACAGGGAAGAGACTTTAGCAACCTCGATCGTAATCATTAACACTAGAACTACCGTACCAGTCGAAATGACTGGTGTAGATTTGTTTGTTTAGCAATTATTGATACGTTCGAAGCATTGAATATTCGAAATGATTTTGAAAATAGTTTCATTTGAGTACTATGATGAATGTTTGAAGAAACTGGAAATACTCTATTGTTACAATTTTTATAGGAATTGCATATTAATCGTATTAAATGCTCGGTAGTTCCAGTGTTAAGGAAAATTTCTGTTGCGAAGCATTTCTTTAACACTAGAACTACCTTACTGGTCAAAATGACTGGTTTCGATTTCTTTGTTTAGCAATTATTGATATGTTCGAAGCATTGAATATTCGAAGTGATTTTGAAAGTGAATAGTTTCATTTGAGTACTATAATGACCTGAAGAAACTTCCGAGTGCAAAGGGTTAAATGATTAACGTGAAAATAATTACTGTAGACGCAGTTACAAAAGAAATGTCAAGTGGTTGAATCGCCCCAAGTTCAATAAACAGAGCCATAACCAATCTGACGGTCCTCCAACTAAACAATGACCTCAAAACATTCTACAACCTCCAAACGAGGAACATCAGATTAACACAGTAACATCCAAATGTTTACAATTTTATAATTCATCCGAAAAAATCCTACAGCTCCATCCGAAAGTTCCCCAAAAATTCCCCAAAAATTCCCCGAAATCTCCCAAGCCAGCTGCAAAAGCCGAACGAAAGGTCACCGTCGAGCATGCGAAAGCGCAACGATGCGAGGCGGAAAATTCCAGGCGGAAAATGAAACCGTATTCTGTTCCCGGTCCGCTGCGGCGTCCCTCGGACAAATAAATGTTATCCGATATAGCGCGCGGGTGGCTGTTCCGCGACGGCCCGCCGACAGATTTTCATTTACGGGCCCGCAACCGCGGCAGGGCTGCGCGCGGGGATTTAAAGCCGACACGGTATCGCTGTATCAGCGTCGGTCTCGCTGCGGGGATGACGACGGGCAGCGAAAGAGGGGCGGGGGCGGGTTTCGGCGGTGGCGGTCGTCGAACCGTTGAACGGTGTTCATTTCAATTCGCCTCTAATTGAACGCCGTTCAATATTGACGAGTTAAATAATTGTCTTTGGAAAACTGAGCCCGGCCGGGCTAACCGTTAATCATCCCTCCTCGGCGGCGCGCAGCACGCGATCCCGGGATAATTCGCGTCCCGCACAGCGTAAACACGCCGGAAAAATGTTCGGCCCGTCCGTCCGGGCGGCGTGTAAAATGAAAAATATTAAATATTCGCCTGTCATTCGTCCGAGCGGAAGGGTGGCGGGCGGATAATGCGCGTCACGCGCGCCCCGTTGTCTCGCCGTTCCCGACGTCATTGTCGTCGGCCCGCTGATTTGTTGCGATATGTTAACGTAAAAAGCCAGCGCGCAACGTTCGAGCTTTCATTTTCGGCCCGACGGGGGCGGAACGTCATTCCGACGGAGAGACCGGCGGGAGTGACGTGCGCGCGGGAGGGATTAATTAAAGGATTAATTAATTGAAAAGTCGCGGGAGAATATTTCTAGCCACCGGTATGGTTTTGATATTCAAATGTCGGGCTCGATGAACGTTTCGGAGGAAATCAGTTGCACTCCTGTTCCGCGGGATTATTTTTGAAACCGTTGGTTCCGATGTTGTAGGTCAAAGGTTTCACTGCAAGTGTTAGGTGCTCGTGGTTACCGTAATGGTCGAGCTTTGTAGGCGACTAATGAACTTGTATGTCTCGATGGACCACCCGATAAGATCGGGAACAAAACTTAGAAATGAGTAGGAGGTGAAGTGGACTTTGACTCTAGTGCTATGCGCTCGATCGAAATTGCTACTTGATACTTTGTAATCCTTGCTTCCTACTCCGTACTCTGTGCTATGTACTATGTGAGTTGATACTTGTCTAACTATGTGTATCCAACTGTGTGTGTCAACTCCCTGGGCCTCCCAGAATCGTCCTCGACGACACCTCCGCAATGTCGTCTTCGCGGGGGTGAAGACGTTCCGGTTGGCCCTTTTAGATCTAGATGGTTGTGAAGGGAGACACAGTCCCCTCCCTTCTTGGGTCTTCCAAGTTGCTAATGTTAATAACTAATTCGTCCCGTTTGCAATCGTCGACCGTGGCAGGTAGAAAGCAAGAAACACTTTGGAAACAAAGCTGTTTTATCCCAGTATTTCATACAACGATGCATTATACATAGTTCAATATTAAATATCAAATTTTATAGTTTTATCAAATCAAGTGTTAACTGAGAGTCACCTTTCGAGTGCAAAGGGTCAAACCGCAAAAACCGAGGAATCACATACGAAAGATCTCGTTCATCACTGCAAGATCTCACTTAAAAGGGCTACTTAACTCAGCCGAACATTACGCAATCGCGAAGAGAATCACTTATCGTTAGGGACACTCGGTAAATCGCAGCTGAGCGTACCTCTCGCGTCACGAGCGCGGTAATCGATGGACGAAGCAGCGCGGATTCCGCGGAAAAGCCGGCAAATGCGATTTTAATGTCAAGCGGCCGAAGCCCCGTGTTTTCCGCCGGGCGTGTCTCTAACGAGCTGCAGCCCGCAGAGGCCCGCGGCTATTTTTGCCATTTTGTAACGTTACATTCACCGGCGCGCCGCGTCTATTATAAATACCGGACGACCCGGCCGCGGGGCGGAATCGCTGGCTGGAACGTCCACTCCGAAAACGGAATTCTAGAGCTCGGTTTGCTCGGTTGAGTAATCCCGGGATTTCAACTGTTAGGCCACCGCCGCCGCCAATGGAATATCCGCGAAAGCCGGCTGCGGAACAATGTTTACCGACGCGGCGCTTCATCGGGCAACGCCGGATATTATTATCGTCGTGACGCCGAGGAAGCTCGCGCAGACAACGGCACGCATCTTGCCGATCCTATTTGCATAACCGCGCGCGCGGCCACTTTTGAACGTCGGGACTATTTACGAGCGTAATGGAAATATTAACCGTTCCCAGCGATTAGGACGCGCGGGGGTTTCGGCCGGTCCGCGTTACAAACTGCAACACATGGTTCTGAGAGTCTCGGCTAACAGCTCTATGAGCTGTCTACTTCCCTGGGCCGAGCAATCTGCGGATGCTTCTCGAGTGGTGATTTAGAGCGGTGTTTAGAAACTCGGAATCCAGTGATTCCTGTTTACTTGCCTCATCCTTTCCGAGCTGCGCCGCGCTGATTGATAGGATAGCTGAGAGCTGAATTATTTCTAGTTTCTAGTATTGCCTCTGGCGGGGACTGAGATTGTTGGGGTTCGGTTGTAAGAGAATATTAACCCTTTGCACTCGAGAGGCGACTCTCAGTCATCGCGTGAGACGATGCGGCGGAAGTATGAAGTTGAATGTTTAAATACAAATCAAACATCATCTCGGAAGTATTCATTCACGTCTATTCATCTTAACCAACATTCTCATATGGAAATCCAGACAGATACAGCTCTAGGATAATCTTAGTAAAGGGAAGAACGCTGAAGATCTCAAATTGAAATTAACCCCTTGGCGTAGTTACTTTCGTTACTAAGCTCGTAATATTTTACTATCGACAGTTTGTAAGAAATACATTTTCCATTCTACTTCAGGTGGAAATTTCATTTGAAGATAATATATTGATAATAGCAAAGTAGTTGGTTGCTTTGATCCGTGGGTAATGAACAACATTGATTCTTGTTATACACCTCTGGTGCTTAATTTATCTATGAGTTATCGTTCAATTAGTTTCAAACAATATGACCTATGTCTCGTTAGAAAATGTTGAATATTTCCATTGAGAAACTTTCAAGTGGGTTAACACTATTTCTACCCAGCTATCAAAAGACAAATTTTCAGTTACAATTCTTCTTCAAGTTCAGTCGTATACTCAGAAATGACTTATCGACGTTTCCAATGACGATTATGATATTAACTATAGGAAATGTCGGGAATTTAATCGAGGAAGGATTATTAAACTGAAAATAATTTCAAGTGAAAATCTCGAAAGTGTCTTCTATAAACTAGTGTTAAGTTTCCGATTCTAAGGAGGAATATCAAGGTTTAGACTTTGGATCTCATAAGTTAGATTTCTCACCCCTAAATACTATGAAACTTTTGATTCTTGACAGCAACACAAAGATTACACTAACTTCATTAAACCCATTAGCAATATTCCAGCCCAACGACCTCCACTGCCGATAGTACACCGAACCTTATCTCCGTCGTCGAAATTAAAAATCAGTTCGCGAATCGCGCAGCCCCTCTTCCATTTTCCAGGAGCAATCCCGTCGCAACATCGTTAATCCATTGACCAGGGGGCGGGAGGGGCAAGGTATGAGGGCTTTTGACGCAGACTGGCAACCGCCCACGCCTAATTTCCAGGCTCACCGTTGTTTATTGTCGAATCCTTTTAGCCAGGGATCGCTCGTAAGAAGTTCCATCGGGAAAGCCGGGCGAGGGAGCAACGGAGACGGTGCTGTTCCGTCGTTAACGCGACCAGAGAACCATCCCCCACCCTCTAACGACGCGCCCCTGTACTTCGTTCGCTTAGAATCTTGCCCTGACTCTCTCTTTTAATGCGTGGACTCCCCTTAAATCAGTGGCACTCGGTCGTGTACACGGGTTGGCTCTTTTTCCGAGGCCGCCGACGAATTCATATTTTCATTTCGTGTCGTTAACGAACGTCGAGCCGCTTTAAGGTCTACCGTAATGGAGGATGTTGCTCGAAGATGCGCTCCCGTCGAGCTAACCGTAAAAGAAGCGCGCTTTTACTTCGTTCAGCGGCGAGGACATTGTTCTTTACTTACTGTCCCTGAATTAGTATCTTCGCGCCGGTGGTAAAGAATAATTATCTGGAGGTTCGTTGATTAGCTTGTGAGATGGCTGTAGAAACTACCCTGTAAGATAAACATTACGAATGAATCTTAACCCTAAAACTACCGAGCACTTTAATTGACTTTTGAAAATTTCTCTATAGAAACTCCAAAAATTTGTTCGGACTTTAATTGATTTACAATTCAATTTGCGTAGTGCTAAATGAATTTCTTTAACCAGTTAACTGTGTGACGAGTATACACGTCATCCTAAAGCTTAACATGATACTAATTTCAGCGATGAATTCTCTATTTTTTCACATAAACATGAGACTTCTTTGTTTCGCTTTGATCTTTCATTAAAGTATACTCTACGTGCGTTCGGCCTGCGTTCGACGCGTACACGCTCCATTTTTCGATTTTATTTCGATTTTATTGCAGAACGAGACGTTCTTCCAACTAAATTCGTCCACAGTTCCCTATTATCAAGTATAAAGGATTAATCTAGAAATCAATCGCGAGTCTCACTCGCCACTTTGTCAAAGGATTAATACTTTCCCTTCCCCTCATGCTATCACAGCGTCATCAACCCTCGAAACTAAAACTCATTACAACATATCGACTGCGGATTCTATAACCGTACTATCAACGAACCGATGCAACGTCAACGTTTCCCCTATCCCAACACCAAAACATCAAAACACCAACAAAGAAAGCAACATTGAACTCGAGGCCCTCGAACCGCGCCAAAGAAGTTCATCGCAAGAATCCGCAGTCGATTAATCACGTTCACGGGCACCGCCGTCAACCCTCGGATCGGCCGGTCGAACGGAAATTGACCGCGAAGGGGTTAATCGGTCCGCATTACCTCTCCGCCGGTCGCGTAAAACAGTCTTTCCGAGCGGGCGTCTAACCGCGAGGGGTATCGTTGTTGCAGAAGACGAACGGGGCTACGGTGGTCCACGAACGGCGGAACGGGGCGACCGTGAACGCCGAAGGAGCGCGGCTTATCGCGGGTAAGTGTATCTAATTACCCTTGCCGTTTACGTCAACGATTTGCAGTGATTTACGGCGAAATTGTGCCGGCGACCTTCGGCCGGCGAGCCACGGTTCCGGGACTGGACGAGGAGGGCCGCGTGGAGAAGAAGGGGCCAGGGCAATGGGGAACGAATCAGCTAAGCGGTCCGCGGCTAAAAAACACTAAAGGATTCGGTCATTTATCACGGCGCCGCTGCCCCCGGGGCACCATCGGAATGAAAAGGGGAGGAATATAATCCGTTGGACAGACTAATCGCGGACTAACTATCCACATATTATCTACAATAATTCCATGGTAACCCGTCGCAGGGGGGGAGGGGAGGGGACACGGGGTGTCCCATCCGACCCGGCGTCGCGAATCGATTCGAGAGCTTTCCGCCTCGGACATCCTCTCGGGCGACAACCGCGAGATTTAGACCGCCTCGACCGGCAACTTTGTGTCAATTCGTTTAACCGAGAGCGATTTATTCGAGGTGGAAGGCAGTTCGAGTTTATTGGGAATTTAGAGTTCTTGTGGAGGTTTGAAGTGGTAGTTACGATTTTAGAGTGAGTGGAATTGAATTTTAGATTTCAGTTTATGGAGAAAATTGGGGGTTCTTGTGGAGGTTTGAAGTGGTGGTTAGGGTTTTAGAGTTTTGATACTGGAACTGTGGGTGGAATTGGATTTTTGAGATTTGGGGGAAGTTGGAGGGTATGGGTTGAGGTTATAATTGATTTGGAATTCAGTTTATGTAGTAAATTGGGGGTTTTTATGGAGGTTTTGCATTGAAAGTTGCGGTTTTAGTTTTGATACTAGAACTGTGAGTGGAATTGAATTTTAGAATTCAGTTTATGCAGTAAATTGGGGGTTCTTGTAGAGGTTTGAAGTTGAAATTACGATTTTACAGTTTTAATGTTAGAACTGTGGGTGGAATTGAATTCTTGAGATTTGTGGAAAGTTGGAGAGTATGGATTGAGATTATAATTGATTTAGAATTCGGTTTACGTAATATATTAATTTAGTGGTTTCTTGGGGAAGTGTCTATATTTCTAATAATTGCAACTGGAAAACTTGACTCAGCTTCTAACGACGACTTTAAGATAAACGAACCCAATCAAATTATTTTTCTACCATCTAACTCCCAGTTCACTCTGCATTGCGTTCAAGTATAAAATGACAAAGCACAGGGATAATATGTCGAGAATCAATGCGCTGATTTGAGGACGCGCCAGCACCGGGATCGTTAACAAAGAACATCCCCGAACGTAGGAAGAGAGCGCAGCAGCATCGCATCGTTAAAGAAAAATATGAACGTTTGCACAATGGCCGACCGGCTCGATGCGCCGCGGCGGCCACGCGTAAACGAGGGAATTTCGTTTTTTCTTTTCAACAAAGAAAGCCCCGCGCATCCGGTCCATCGGTTCCGTCCGGGATCAATTTACTGAGTACACGTTACATTTCGGTCAGCGAAACACCGCCGCCGCCGTGGCTATTTTTGCAGGCCCGCGATTTGCGTTACCTGCGCGCGGTAAATATACCGGGGCCGGCCCCGCAGTAATTTTGAGTCCTGTCGCGCGTAAATAAAGCGAACCCGAGCGTGGAAATTAATTAGTGTACAGACGAGGCAAAGTATAGGGAAAACTCTGGCCGGGCATCGCCATTTAATTGACAAACAAATTTCATTTGCCGTTCGGTGCCCCGTAACCGGCGCCGTATAATCGCCGAATACTTTATTGATCGCGATCGCTTTATTGCCGGCCCGTTAAATTTACACGACACGCCGGTGGCATTGGTTCATCAGTCGCCGCGATTCGGCGCACATTGCTGGGAATATCGACGTTTGGACAATCGATTTTTCGGAGTTTTTAAAAAAGGTTCACTACAGAAATATCTGCTGATGATACATATTAACCCTTTGCACTCGGAAGCTTTTCACTAGAAATATTCAATATTCTTCGAAGAGATACAGACGAGCTTTAAAACTAATTAATGAGAAAATGTATAAATTTAGAAGGGAAGTTATTTTATTTCAATATTCTACATATTGGTGCGTCATAGCTTTACCCTTTGCACTCGACAGTTTTTCACTAGAAATAATATTCTTCGAAGAGATGCAGACGAGCTGAATAAAATAACTTTCCTTCTTAATTTATATATATATTCTCTCATTAATTAGTAATTTCAATATTCCACATATTGATGCGTCATGCAAACCTTAATATTACATATAAGACTAATTTTGCAAATCAAATCAAGTGACTATAGTCACCCCTCAAGTGCAAAGGGTTCAGATTCAATCGTCCAATAGGAAAGTAACTTGAGCAACTATACAATATCTAACGATAATCCTTGATTATTATGACTACCCCTACACAAGACATTTATCATATTTTATAGAATCACTGAAGAACATTTCACTGTTACCAGAAAACCACCGTGCCCCATTATTTCGAGCGTCACGCGCGTTTCCGGCAACCAAATCTCGCCCACCGCGTCTGCTAGTTTCGATGTAATAATTCCCATCCTGCTCGCGGACTATCGCGTTCCTCGGTTCGTTTTTTCGAAAGGATCGCCGGACTAATTGGCTGCGCGCTACGTTCCGACTTGAAATTTACTGACCGTGTAATGGCGAATCGATAGGGTGTTCCGTTCCCCGGGACCCGGAGGTGATTCCAACGGTAAAGCTATCGAAACGCGTCGGCGACGCGCGGGCCCGTTCGCGTTTTCGCCGCGGCGAACGGCAGCTGGGGTGCGGGGAACGGCGAAGAAATTCATTAGCCGCATCCGGCGGTACAATGGGATCCGCCGAGACGCGCGCGAGGTTAAGGAGGACGACAATCGGGGACATATGGAGGATCGTTGGAGAACTACGCGTTAGGGTACACATGTAACGCCTTCAAATTACAGTGTGCGCCCGGACCTCCATCCATCACAACTGGGCCCATGGGACTCACGGTCCCTGCGCGCACCGCCCCAACGTTTAAGTCGTTAGCAATTTCCTGCACGGGACTATTTTCGGGCCCAAATTCCATATGGCCCGATAATATCCGATAATACGGCCGTGCCCGGGAGATTGGCGAAAGGATCTTGGGACCAGCCTCGTCTCATTTCGCCGATAGTCCCCGCTTCGATCGGATTATCCCCCTCGGACACCCTCTCTTTTGTAGAAGTTTCCCGTCCGGAACACTGCTATCCTCCGCGCAGTCGGCCCGTCGTTCCTTTCGGACCTAGGGACGCTTCTGATCACAGTAATTTCCATGGGTCCACCCCGAGCAACCCCCTTTGTTTAAGTAATTCGTGAGATCGCGTGTGAGGCACTCTTTACGCGTACGTGTTGGATTTAATATTCAATTATCGTTATGGACGTTTATTAAAATGTGTGCAATGCGGCTTTTTATAGGGTCGAAGAATTGCAATTATTGAGGATTTTACATGGGATTGATGTTTTAGCACGGTGCGTCGGTTGGTGGTTTAATCCTTTGAACTCGAAAGTTTTTCACTAGAAATATTCAATATTCTCCGATGAGATACAGACGATCTTTGAAACTAATTAACGAGGAAACATATATAAATTAAGGAAAGTTATTTTATTTCAATATTCCATATATTGGTGCGTCATAGCTTAACCCTTTGCACTCGAAAGCTCTTCACTAGAAATACTCAATATTCTCCGATGAGATACAGACGATTTGAAACTAATTAACGAGGAAACATATATAAATTAAGGAAAGTTATTTCATTTCAATATTCCACATATTGATGCATCATGCAAGCTTAATATTACATATAAGACTTTATAATTTTGCAAATCAGATCAAGTGGTGAGAGTCACCTCTCGAGTGCAAAGGGTTAATCTTCTGCGACTAAACAATTAGAGACTATTACGTTCTTTCTATGTTAACAGTGGATAAAGATAGCATTACAGATTATTATAGATCCAAAAATTTTTCCTTTTTTCGTTATTTTATTCTTCCGTATTGGATTATCGACTAAGCAAACAAAATGGAGGAGGTTGAATAGAATAGCTGCGCTAGGGGGCAGCAGCGCTCAGAACGTCGCGACGTCGACTCGATAGATAACACTCCTGCAATACCCTTCGTAATTAACAAATTAAGAAACATAAAAATTACTCTTAAACACAACGCATCGTTTCTTGCAGAACGAAAGATCGACATCGAAACGAAGACAACTTTCACGCAGACGTCAGCAACAATTATCGATCCGAATAATTCACAAGTTCATAGAGAGGCAATTAATTTAAGCCGTTCATCCCCGAGAAGTGTTTATTTGAAACAAAAGAAATCCTCGTCGATTTGGGCCGTCGACGAGGACCCTGCGCCTCAATGGCTGATAGCTGAAGCCCTGTCCGCCATTAACAAGAGCATCGAGGTATGCGGACGGTAATATGCCATGCGATTAGCACATTAAACGCTTTCACTGCCCAAGGTATTTCCAATTACTCGGGACTTTCGTGAGTAAACTGTGTACAATAAATGTTCTTAACGTTTCGACATCGTTGCGGCCGATTTAATCAAGATTCAGTAGCTCTTAATTGGTCGGCTGAACGAAACAGCTTCGATTCCATTTAATCCCGTCCATTTACAGTTAGCAACAAATCCCTTTTTTCACATAATTATACAAAAATCCGTCGGAGTAACAAACTGTCACGATCATTTCCCAAGCTCATCCGCGAAAACCGCGCATCGTTCCTTCGTTCGATCAGCTTTCGGGGATACCATTACGAGAATGGACTTCGCAGTTAACGCAAATATTTTCGTTGTTGTTCCCGGTGCACGCAATATCGACGTTGAACGGCATCAGTGCGGCGATCGACGGACGAAGGGAGAAGCACCGTCGAGCAAGGAGACCGAGTGAGTTCGCGGGGGATGAAAAAACGGCGCGGTCGAAGCGTTTTTTAATCGAGAAACCCTGCCGATTTTTTTGCCCGTGGAAAAATTCGCGGCGGCGCATGCCGAAATTATTAGAGGCCGGATTAATGAAATTTCTTCGTAGCCGGCGCACCGTGTTCAATGATAAAATGGAATTCACGAAAGTATCCGATGAAATTCCGACGTGTGAATCGTAATACGCGAGAGGGGTTGGGTCGCGCGCGTTTTTCCTGTGTCAAACGTCGCGGGGAAGTTTCGCGGTGACTTTTACGAACGTAATGTTTAACGATCACTGTGAAATACTTGCGGCGATTGTTTTAAGCAGGAAACACGCGTCGATTATCGCGGAACTCGAGGAGAAGCTTCGTCGCGCGGAGCTGGATCTAGAGGAGGCTCTAAAGAAGAGGACGCTGGCGAAGGAGAAGCATAAAAGGTAATTGTTCCTTTGAGTCACAGTGCGAGCACTGATAGCTCGGAATGAAATGTAGAACATTGGAGAGCGTGAGAGCGGAGGCTCGCAGGGAGAACGAGATTCTTCAGGAGAGGATCGTTCGAATCTGCACGTCTGTGCTGGAGAACTTTGGTCCTCGAGGGATGACCGGCAGAAGACGCAACTATCAACTGAAATGCGGCAAACGCTTGAAGTGTCGCGCGAATTTCAGCAGTAAATTGCGCAAGAAGGTGAACTGCTTTCGATAATAGAAGCTACTTATAAACAGTCTTCTCTTTTTCAAAATTAAATCATATATATGACGCTATCTTCAGTAAACTTCATAAAATCACGAAACAATCGATTATCCTACACGTTTTAAATTTATCAGCTACGAACGACGGTCGCCAAATCGATGAAACTGAAGCAGGAATTGGCAGCGACTCGAGCGACGTTGAAAACCGAGACGGAGAAGTGCGAGTCGATTCGCGAGTGCTTCGAGAAGCTGCGGCGAGAGATGGACGCCAGCGAGGTCAATCTGAATAGACTGATCTCGGAGAACCTGGAGCTGCGGAAGAGGATAGAAGACACGCGTGAATGGGTGCAGCACAACATGAACAAAGAGAACCACGAGAGGAACAACACCGCTCACTTCCGGGACATGCACAGGAGCAGGGAGCTGACGAACCTGAAGAAGAAGGCGGAGGAGGACTTCACCACCATCAGCCAGCTGAGAAACAAGTGAGCGTGCATCCGAGTAGAAGCGTGATAGTCGATCGTCCAGAGAATTGATCGATAAGTTGAATAAATCAGATTACTGCGATCAGAATCGGCGAACGCCAACAAGGGTTTCCTGCTGAACAGTTACAAGAGCCAGCTGACGGACCTCAACAAAGAGAAGAGTCAGCTCCTCTCGAAAATAAGTAGCCTGGAAAACGAGATCACCGGCGTCAAGTCTAGCAATTCGCAATTGAAAGCGAAAGTACGTGTTAATGAATATTTAATTTAGTTATCGAATATTTAACGAACACTTTCTGTTACTGACTAGTAATCTTCGACAGGTCTCCGTGTTGAGCACCGAGAAGGAGAAATTGGCTTGCCAAAATGAGAAATCGAAGGCAGACTTCACGGAGAAGGTAAGAGTATGGTTTGATGGGTAATGTAGAATTGAGAAGACAGATTACTGCTTCGTTTCCAGTTGGAGATGCAGAATTGTAAGAACTTCGAGGAGGCTGTGCAGGAAGTCGAGAGCACGAAGGCTAGCTACGAAGAGACTATCAAATCGATGACAACGAAGTTGTCCAGCGCGAAGAGCCAGAATACGGAGTATTTGAAAGGCATCAAGGTACTGTTCGTAAATTCAGTAGCTTCTACTTTGCTTTTGACGCTGATTCTAGGAATTTTTGAAGAAGCTTTACGACTCGCGAAGCAACTACGAGAAGCAGAGGAGTTTGAAAGATGAGCCGAGCGAGAAAGAGGCTCAGGAGACTGCTTGCAACATTCTAAACATGACGCCGGAAGAGTTGGCTAGCTTAATGAACGGAAAGACGGCGAATTCGGTAATTAGTCCTCGGAAAATCAACGAATCCGCCATCGTACGTAACGATCGATTTACGATTAGATTCATTCCTGGGTGTTCGAACTGAACCGGATACTGGCGAAGAAGAATTTCTCCGAGAGCCTGTCGAAGCTCTTGTTCAAGGAAGCAACGAGGAAACTGAAAACGTAATGAGGAATTCGCAGATTGTTTAACGAACATTTTTGTATTACATTTAACGTTTTCGTATTGAATTTACCGTTCCGACGTTCCATTTGTAACTTCCTTTTCGCCCGAATAAAGGGAAGCACAGAAAAAGGTATTCAAAAACAGATTCACAAGGATTTTCTTAAAGAATGTATTTGATACAATGAAAAATACCTATATTAAAGATGCGATTAAGCTCCTATCGAGTGGTAAGTATAATGCGAGCGACGTACACCAAATACCACGAACGAGTCACGAGTTAAAGATATCGATAAATACATAGGAAAAGTGACGGAGATCCCGCAGATCACAATACATGAAATACAACGAACTATACGTCGACAGTTAACAAACGTCTCGTTAAAAAAAGGACAGCGTATCAAAGTAATCAGAGAAGAGGTTCCTCCAAACCAACTACATCTATCAGATCGAAGAACGAATTGACTTGGTTTGTACGCAGCTGTCCGTCGAAACGACTCAAATATCAATTACAACGTTAATCGATCATCAATTACAACCCCACCGATCACGAAAACCCCCGAACCCGATCTACCCAAGTCGATTCCTTGCTCGATTCAACCATGCACGCGAATCGATTCAATTATCGCTCTGCAGTTCGCTGGAGCCGGTAGCGTCGGGCGCCTTCTGCAGCTGCGCGCTCTGGAATCTCTCGTAGCCGTTGCTCTCGCCGAAGATCTTCCTGCCGGGGACCCTGTCGTCGTCCTTGACGCTGACCTCGGTGCCGATCTGCACCGGCCAGGGCAGCTTGCCGTCGTTCCGAACGGACACCTGATTAGCCAGCTTCCTGTCGCCGCTTGGGTCGAGCGGCTCGTTGTTCCGGAGACTCTCCAGCGTCACTTTACGACGACCGTCCTCGTCACCATAAGAAAACGGTCTATCGAAGCTGGACCTCTTCGAGTACGAGTCGTAGCCGTCGTACAGGTGTCTGAAGCGGTACCTGCTGGGGTCGACGTTCCCCGGGATGCGTTTGTAGGTGCCGTCCCTGGACACCGGCGTCCTGGCCGCTTCGTACTGCCTGGGGTAGTTCCGCAGGTCCACGGGCTTCCTGACTATCTCCGGCAGCGTCGCGTAGTAGATGATCCGCTTCGGCTTCGGCGTCGGTCTGCTGCGCCCGTAGAGGTCCAGGTCCTCGTCCCGGTACCTGTCGTAGTAGTAGGCGTAGTCCTGCGGCAGACGCATGTAGTAGTCGCGCTCCATTCGGTAGCGGTCGGGGTAGTAGTAGCTGTAGCCTCTGCGGTAGGCCACCGGGTCGTACTCCCTCTCGCGCGCGGCGTTCCTGTACCAGGGGAAGTCGTAGTCGTCGTAGCCTCTGGTCACCGGCATGTCCCTGGCGTCCCGATGGTCGTAGCTGCGCCTTTGGTGGCTGGTGACGAAGTCGGCGCGCGGCGCGTGGTAGCCTCTCGAGTTCGGCAGCTCCTCCTCGTCCACCGTCTGCTGGATCATCTGGTCCAGGCCGCGGTTCGGGAACTCGACGGACAGGGACTGCGAGGACCAGGTCTCCGGCGAGCTCAGGCGAACCTCCCGCACGTTCTTCGTGGTCGTGATCTGCTCCATCCTCGTCTCGTTGTCGGCGTCGCGCCGGACTCGGGATATGTCCTCTTCCGAGTTAGCAGTGATGTCTCTCGCGTTCCCTTGGAGCACCGTCATCATGACGCCCGTGTCGAGTATCTTCTCGGCCGCTTCGTTCTGGTTGTGGGATTCCGCTGTTCGCTCGAGTCTGTCGTGAGGGTTTTTAATTGATGATTTGGGGAGATCGTTTGGCTCGGTGGATTCTGTCCCGGGTTTGGTGTTCGGCTGCGATGGTCCTGGCGGATCTAAGTGGCCCACGCCGCTCACGCTGCGCACCTCGAACACGGAGGAGTCTGACCGTGGCCAGGACTCGTGGTTCCAGTCCACGGTCGCGTACGGGAGGACCTGCCATGCCTTGCCGATCCCTGTCGCGCAGACTCCCGTTAAGAGGAACAGCAAGGGGTACGCTTCGAGGAGCAGCCGCATCGTCTGTCTGGGGAAGAGTTGAAGAATTGTACGAAATTATAGACGAAAGTATTGTGGGATGAATGGTTTGTTGTGCGTGAGGGCGACCAGGTCGTATTGCGACGACCGGCGCCGGGACGTTTGGAAAATAGTGTGACCGCGTTTAGAAAATCTCGAGTGGCTGGAAGAATGCTGGAAATTACCTCAAGTAGAATAGACAATTTTATTTCTTACAAATTGTCGATAGTAAAATATTACACTAGCTTATCAACGAAAGTATGCCAAGGGGTTGGAACCACAATCTTTTATCTGAATAACCAAGTTATTCGCAGCTTTCTACGTCTCCAATCTCAAATACACCATTACATTCGACTGCAAAGGGTTAAACACTTTCCCATCACTTTTCACGATAGTCTCACTGTCAAACGACACCCGAGTAACGGTAAATCTCTCGAAAGAAGAGATACAGGCAGAAAAATCCGTCAGCCGATGAAAAGAACCGATCGGCGCGCGATGATTCGCGTCAGGCGAGCCGTGAAAACGGTCGGTCGGTTTTTGGAAATGCGATCTAGAACATACGCTATTGTCGGCGGGCTGGATCGGGTATGAATGCAGGGCGAAGCTTTCACTGAGCGCATAGGAGAGCACTGAAAACCCGGCGACAGACGTTTAATGACCGTTCCGTCCGGTAACCACGCGGTCAGATGAGATCGTCCTCGGCCGGCCGACACGGCCAGTGTCCGATTCCCCATGGCAAATATAATTTCCCAGCCGTTTCCGCGGTATTATACGGTAGTTCCGGGCAACACGTAGATCCGGTCGCGCCGATTGTTCACTCGACTACATTTACGGTGGCATCCTCCGCGCGGTATATTCAACTTGTTGATACACGCGGCTCGGCGGCCGAACGAAACGCTAAGTTCAATGCACCGGGCAGTAGCTGTCGATACCGATTCCGGTTGCGAAATTTTTGAATGACAATAGAGCCGCGTTTTCGAAAACCGCGTGCACAGTTAGAACACGTTGCCCCCTATGGAACAATGCGCGCACGGTAAAGTGAAAACGGATAACGGCGCAGCGAAAAATCGAGCGACGCCGATGATCTACGATTCCGAACGCGAATTGAATGGTGTTCCCGAAACAAAGGATAGAAGAGCGATCCACCGGTTGGATTTATTCATGAGGCACCGGAACGATTCGCCGAGTCGATTTGTGCAGTCGATTAGCTCGTCCGAGATTAGGAAAACGGGAGGCATCGTTCTGTTATGGTCGTTTAATTTAGAAGCTGATGAACCGCGTCCAGGCTGGAAACCGCACTTCTTGCCGCGCGAGGTCTTATCCTCGTGAAACGATCGGAATGAGGACGAGCTACATTGTCGAACGGAAAAAACAAGGAAGCGACGAGATAGGACGCCTTGGCGGAACAAATCGGCCGCGGGATCTTCTCCGTTAGCATCAGAATCGCACGATTATGGTCCCCGCTTTACAGTTACATCGCGGACTGTTTTAATTTGCGATTACATTTCGGCGATCGCTGATCCGCCGGAGAGATTTCGATAGAGCCGGATAATAGGCGGGATGGAATTCGAAGTACCGTAACACCGACGAAATGGCGTTAATGAGTCATCTTCGGGACTAGTCTCGCTGACTTTGAGAATAAGAAAACTGATTATTATCGATCACTTGGGAATATTCATTTTACATTCTTCATTCGAAACGTATGCAACCCTTGAATAAATTCACTTTGAGCTAAATTGTCACGTTAATCAGACTTATTCGACTAATTAAACAACTATTTTATAAAAGACTATCAATCTTCGAAATAAGATGCAATCCCTTAAAAACTGTCGTCAGGAAAAAGGATCACTAGAGGTTTATGATTCGAAAATCAATGAGAATTCGATGATCACGATTGAAAGAGATTGATTGAAGATACTATTTCGTAAATCAGAAATTAACGAATAATCGATGTGATTAATTGTGGTTGATATTGCGATTAGAAGCGTGGGAAGTTAGGAATTTCGTCCGATGGGAGACTTACCTGAATTCCAGTGTCTCCGCGGCTTCCGGATGTCGTTGACTGTTCGGAGCGACTACGATTACTACGCTCCGCGAACTACGGCTTCCCGGTTTACCCCGGCTTCGTATCTGCATACCGTGCTGTTGTCGCCTCTGAAACACGCTCACCCCTCTACCCAGAGCCCGCGACTACCGTTCTCTACAGGTCACCAATTTTAACTGTAGTTCTTGTACCAAAGGATAAGAAAACGACTTCCTTCCTTTAGCGCCTGCCCAGGATCGAAGGAAACCGTTTAACTAATCGTTTGTTCAACGGGATCGCGCACTCGCAATTTATTAGAATTCTGAGACATCGGTGAACATTCTTCTTTTTTCTCGCGGGAATACGTTGATCAGGTCATTCGACGAATCAATTAGCATTCGGTGGAATGAAGTTAAGTAGATTACAATTTACACACAATCGGTGCAGCGTTCGTGTATAATTGGAATGTTGTGTATAGTAGTTGACGGAAATTAATACCTTGACATGTGTTCGTGTATTATCTTATTGTATTATTGATTATTGAAATCGCACGAATATGCGATTAGTATGAATTTTGGGTTCTGAATGTGTTGAAACGATTGAAGAAATATTGGTATTGCTTCAATGTAGATGTTAGTGTTTTCATTTTCAGGATATAAACAGGTGCGATAGTGAATAGAATCCGAAAATAGATTGATCTTGAATGAACAATGCTGTCACGCGCTGCGGTGCATAAATTGGGGTAGAATCCTAACATTGGTGCGACAATGGGAAATCCTGCTTTGACAAGCTTTCGATGTTTCGAATGTCTACTTTCCTGAGTAATCTGATTTGAAATTAATACTCAATCCTGTGCTCGTTTTGAAAGAAAGAGGATTGATAACAGAATGTTCAAAATTTGGGTATTTCAGATTTCTAGGATTTGAAGGAATCCAAAGGTTCATTGAGTTTGCCAAAATACTTTCAGGATTTTTCAACTAGATTATCCTGAAGATGCTAGAAAATCTCAAGGACCTGATGAGTCCTGAAAATTCTGGAGACCTCCAGATTTAATTTAATTAATTAGAGTTTTTGGAATCCTCGAAATACCTTGAAGGATCTGAAACTTCCTTAAAAAATTCAGTTTAAAAATGAAATAAATTTAAAAATTCTCTTAACAATTTTTCCGTATCCTTGGGTTTTTTAGGATCCTTCGTTACCAACAGAGTCAAGGATTTCCCATGGAAATTCCCATGATCGTAAAACCTTGTATCCTTTGTGACTATCTTTTAATTTGACATAAGAGGTTGTGGATTCTTTTATGGTGTTTGTTCATAATTTTTATACATAGAAAATTGTTCAAGGCAATTTAAAATAATTCAGAGCATTCTTGAGTAAAGGAGCATTGCGAATGTGCCTTGAGAAGCATGGCCAATCAGCTGTCGGCTCCAACAGAAATACTTCTTTCATTCATGTGAACTTAGCCAATGTATTTCATTCAGCTCGAACAGAAGTATGGTAGTCTTACTATAAATAGGTTAGTGATTCTTGTACGTAGTGTTTTCATAAACGTTTAAAGACACCCGTAGTAGTTGCACAATGTTAAAGTAATTTATAATTTACTTGAAATCGATTAATGAAACATAGTATTGAATTGCTGTAAATAGTTTAGGTAATCATTTATTTATACTTTGAACACACCGATTCATAAATCCGCATCACCGTGACGGTATAATGACAGAAGAAGGGAAGAAAATCTCTTTTGGTTTTGCGAAGTCTATTAAGAAGCCTGTTCTGAAAAATACTGTGCCACAGGAAGCGAAGAAAGTAGATTACATAGAATGTCTTGATGAGAAGGGTATCAAAGTAATTGGGTAAGTCCAATAGTTCACACGAGACTAACATAACCTATTAAAATAGTCAAACATTAGTTTGTCAGTGATATCTTATGGAAAGGGTTCTATTGTTACAGTGAAGAAGAGAAAAAGGATGAACCGTTGGTCATTCCGTTACTGGGGTCAAGAACCTGGCACGATAGAATTGTTAACAAAATTGATGCCGATATTTTTGAGCCTAAGGTAACAAAGGAAGAGGCGATAGAAGTCAAACAAGAAAGCACAACAGAGTTAACAAATGGGAATGCATTGCCGAAAGATCTTCCTACGATAAAACAAGAACCAATAGAAGAGAATGAAAATAATGTTGTTACTTTGGAAGAACAAGCTGCTAAAGAAATCATAGAGGACCTAAAGTCTAATGAAAAAGAAAAAACTGAAACAAAGTCATTAACCTTACCGGTAGTGGAGGATCAGACCTTACGGGGTCAAGAACAGGTACTTATTGATTCTATTATAATGTTTCTATTATTCTTATATCAATAAATCATTGGCTGTATTATAATGAATATTGTTCCTTTCAGTCTACATTAGAGGACTATGAAAAAATTCCTGTAGATGCTTTTGGATTAGCAATGTTAAGAGGAATGGGCTGGCAACCTGGCAAAGGAATTGGTAAAAATGAAAAGTATGGGTTTTAATTTAAATGAACAGATGCTGTATGTTATGTACATACTATGTTTGAAATTATTTGAAGAATACATCTGAGGGTAATAGCTTTTTAATATTCTTGTTATAGAATTGTGTCTGCTGTTGTACCAGAGCTACGTCCGAAAGGCATGGGACTTGGAGCAGATAAAGTAGCATTACAAAAGAAAGATACAGACACTAAGAAACAGGAAGAAGAGCTAAAAATGGAAAAAGGCACGTTCGTGAAAATCATAGCGGGAAAACAAAGTAATAATTACGGCCAGATAGAGGGATTCGACGACGATGCGGGAAGACTTATAATAAAATTAGCTCTCGGAGGAAACATAATATCTGTGAATGAATTCATGGTGCAGCCAGTAACTAAGTCAGAGTATTCGAAGAATGCGAAAGTTCTAAGTTAGTATGAATATTGGAATCTTTCCAAGGGATTTTTAAAACTCCAAATAAAATATTTTATATATTTGCAAAATGAACAGCGTATGAAATTAGAAAATACTATAACGATCTTACACAAACATGTCTCATAAAGTACTTTTAAAAATCCCTTCATATTATTATTAAACTGTAATAAATATAAGAGATTTTAGCCTTTAGTATTTTATGGTGTTAATTTTAGATGCGAAAAAATATGAAGAATACAAAGACAAAGAGTCTAAAGAGCATAAACATAAAACTGTAAAAAAGAAACGGTCAAGCTCTTCCGACTCCAAAGGTAGCGACGACGAAGATAAGTGTAAAAACGAAAACGAGAAGAAAAAGAAAAGCATAAAGTATGACAAAGATAAAACTAGCAAAATAGACGATAAAAAATCAAAAAGTCGAAAAAGATATTCAGAGACCGATAGCGATAGCGATAGTGATTACGGTAAAAGGCGAAGAAGGGGGAGAAGTAGATCTAACAGTAATGATTCCTATAAATCAAAGAAATCTAAAAAATCAAAAAAGCACAAGAGACAAGACAGCTCGCCGGAGAAGTCTAGTAAAAAGCATAAAAAGAAAGATAAGGAAAGGGAGAAAACCAGAGACCGAAAATCGAGAGATCACACGGATAAACGGAAACACAAAAAACGGGGCAGATCAAGGTCCCGATCGTCCACTAGGCGATAATACTTTACGGGAACGTATCCCGTTATTTTACTTTCGTGACGAACTGTACAATTTTGTTTATATACATTTTGTAATAAAACTTATTTTTACAAAGTCGATTTTACCTTTTTATCTGTTACCAATAGATTCTACGACAGACTGTGAATGCATTTATCGGAGACGTGAGTATGTAAAATACAACACACTAAAATTCATGCATCAATGGAACAATAAATAATATTTTTATTTAACTTTATTTCAGATCTCTTAACAGCGCAGAGTTCTATAATACTTGTTTTAATGAATACGATTTAGAAATGTTATATTAAATGTTCATAAATGTCAATGTAGAATTTTAATATTTGTGTATATCACAAGATGTTTACGTAATGACTGATAAGGTAGCAATAAACAGACATAACCTCCAAAAGTATGTTAAGCGCAAACATCAAACAAGGATTGCGGACAATGTCGAGTATGTACAATTGTTTAATTATAAAATATTACGATAATAGGACAAGACTTTTTAATGCATCTTAGTTAACAACGACATTTTTTTCAGCCTTTCGTTTAGCGCTAGTACAGCTCGCAGTCGGTGAAAATAAATCGGCGAACGTAGCGCGAGCTGTTTCGTTCGTCGAACGCGCAAAACAACAAAAAGCTGACATTGTTGCGCTTCCTGAGTGCTTCAACTCACCCTACGGGACATGTAATAATATTTCATCCTTACTATCTATGCGAATATTTTACTGAAAACAAAAACGGATAATTTTTCTTACACGAGATACTCACCCCTTCTATTGAACTCTCGCGCGTGCCACAAGAGGGTGGCTCCATGGAAAGGAGTCCTATTGTACCTTTTATTTTCTTTGCAGTAGAAAAATGTATCAATATTTTTCAAGAAAATTTCAATGAAGGAAACGAGGATCCTTAGTTTATTGTATCATTTCACACATGACTGCAATCATTTCAATATAAATTTTATAACAAAACCTGTACCATACAAAAGAAACTCGGAGGAAGTGAGAAATATAAATAAATCACGATCAAACTGTTTCATTTATTGATAGAAAGAAACTCGCTGGCGAGTATTGCGCGATAAATTCCAGGATAAGTGGGTAATCGCTTTCTTTATTTGTTTTCGACACAGCGCATTTCGCGAAATATGCGGAGAGCATTCCCGACGGCGAAACGAGCGTCGCGTTGTCGGCAGCAGCGAGAAAGAATGACATTTACGTGATCGGTGGCACGATACCCGAAAGGGAAGCCGATAAATTGTACAACACGTGCACCGTTTGGTCGCCTGATGGAACTCTAGTGGCGAAACACAGGAAGGTAAACAATTTCCCCTTTAACCCTTAGCAATCCTATGTCGAGTCAGACTCGACGTTCTATTTTACTGCAACCTCTACCTATTTTAACAATATTTTCTATATTTATTTGTAGTATCACAGTTGTACCATTTAAAGGTAACATTTCAATGACTCCCAAATATTCTTGAATAAATAAATAGTTCGCTCAATTAAACCATGATTATTTGAAAACATTTCTATATTATAAATAACGCTACATAATACAGTGACATTCAGTTAGATGAATACACGATAATAATAACGTAATTCAATCAAATGATTTAACATCATATTTTTCCATTCGGCGTATTTTCCTGTGAAATCGTGCGTTCAACGTGTTAATCTACTTACCAAATCTCATTCGTAACCCTCAACAGTAAACAGAATATATAAAAACAAACACCAAGAATCTAAATCAGCAAACGTCCGTTCGCTTTCAGATGCATTTATTCGACATCGACATCCCAGGAAAAATGACGTTCCGCGAGAGCGACTCGCTCAGTCCCGGGAACTCGTTGACCACGTTCGAGGCGAAGGGCTGCAAGATAGGGATTGGCGTTTGCTACGACATCAGGTTCGAGGAAATGGCGCGTCTCTACCGGAACAAAGGTACCGTAAACACGGGAAACCTGTCCACAATTAGCCGAACAAGCACGGGAAGACATACACAGCACTTAACGTTCCGCGCAGCGATTTCTCGCGGTCTCTTAACGTCACGGGACGTTTTTATTATCGGAAAAATCTCCTTCGAGTGGACGAGGAGAGAAGGGGGAGGAGATATTCGAGTAATTTCACGTCGAGTCGGGCTTAGAGTAAAGTAAAGGATAAAGTACGAAGACTTGATTGCTTCAATGGAGCCAGGAGTTAGGGGGTGGTAAATTCAACCCTTTGCACTCCAGAAGTTTTTCACCGGAGATATTCAATATTTTCTAATGAGACAGACGACATTTTCTCAGATTGAATTAAGAAATCACGTGCATCGAGGAAGACTATTTTCTTTCAATATTTCGTACATTGATTAAAATATATTACAAAGTTTAATATTAACCTTTTGCACTCGGGAGGTGTGTCACCACTTGGTTTGATACAGTAAAATTATAAAGTCTGATGTTTAACACTAAACTTTATATAACGCGTCACTATGTGAAATATCAAAGTAAAATAGTTTTGTCCTTTAATTTATTAAATTATTTACATTAGTCGCAACAAGCATCGTCTATATTTTATCGAAGAGTGTTGAATATTTCTAGTGAAAAGCTTTCGAGTGCAAAGGGTTAAATATCAAAGTTTACAGTTTTGCTGTGTCAAATCATTTGGCGACTCAGAGGAACCTTTGGAGCGCAGAGTTAACCCCTTGACCTATGATTTCTTTTACAACTCTGATGCGGCCACTTTGTCTTTAATAATTTATTTGAAAACTGGACAAATTTTTACGCCTATATTACTTTTTAAGTATAATAGTTGATTCAACAAATATATATATTGCTCAGTTCATTCGAATGCAAAGTAAATATTCCTCTGTAATCAACATGATTCAACAAATATATCTATTGCTCAGTTCATTCGACTGCAAAGTAAATATTATTCCTCTGTAATCATGTTGAAAATCTTCACGAGTCTCACTCGTTGTAGGTCAAGGAGTTAAGGAACACGGCTGAAAATCGACAAAAAGGTTGCTTCTGTCTTCGCATTCCTTGTTTCCAGGTTGCCAGATGCTGATTTATCCGGGAGCGTTCAACATGACCACCGGACCTCTGCACTGGTCGTTGCTGCAGCGTTCCAGGGCGAACGACAATCAATTATACGTCGCCTGCGTCTCGCCAGCCCGCGGCTCCCCACCTGGCTACGTCGCCTGGGGCCACAGCCAGCTAACCAACCCCTGGGGAGAGATTCTTCACGAGCTGGATGCCGGCGAGGACATGATAGTCGCGGATATAGGTAATTGCCACTTTACGCAGTTACGAGAGACTCGTCAGCGTCCAATTTATCGGCTCTCGGTGTCACTCGTGTCGAACAGCTCGGGCCTTGAAGAAGCAATTTTAGCCCACTGATTCAACGTTGGATACGTTTCAGATCTGAAGATCGTGGATGAGGTGAGAGCTCAAATTCCGACGTACTCTCAGAGACGCACCGAGCTGTACGATACGATTTGGAAGAACTAAAGTGCTTAGAACGGTTGTTCTGAAGGTATGGGAGTTTCTATGCTTTTGATACGGGAATACAATCGATGAGATTATTATTAACTTACCTGTGTAAAGGAGTGCGGGGACAATAAAAGGTAACGCTTCGATTCAAGTATCTTTAATATCGATCAAATGAATTATTATAATCTGTAATCGTTTACGGAATGATTACTCGTACATGAAAGGCCCCTCGATGATAAAACGATGTAATCACAATCAAAGGTTATTTTAGTTACGAGTCTCGTAGCAATATTAAATCTGTCCTCTCTAAATATTTACATTCAAATAAATGAATAGATCTGTCTTTCACATGTAAACGTTAGATTCGAAGTGTTAAGCTTAAGAGAAATTGGTCGATTAATGTCGGATCGATTATACAATGTTTCTCGACGGAGAGTCAAAGAGGCAAAAGATTCTCGACGGCGATGGGAACCGTTTAGTCCGGTGGACCGTCTCGGCTGTTCGCCAGCTGGAATTGGTTTCACGCTCTCCCGGTTTGCACGCGGGAAGGTCGCGGCCGCTACGACGGATCCCGGTCAGGAACGCGCCGAGACGGCGCCAAACTTTCGCGACCGAACTTTGAGGAACTGCATTTCTTCGCGGCGTCGTCCACGGTGACATCCGTTACGCGACCTTGCAAGGAAAACACACGTAACGCGTGCACGGTGCCGATCAATTTCAACTTTCCTCGTGGAACAGGCTCATACCTCTTTGAAAGTCGAACAGTCCGTGATTCGATGCCTCCTCGCCTGCGACGGATGGATTCGTATGAGATTCATATTGGATTCATCACGGAGAACTGCTCGACTTTCAGGACTTCTTAACATGTTGACTGCTGCGCGGCTCTTTTGAATTTAGAATGATCCTCGGACTGATCCGGGAATGTATCTTACATCGTCGCTTTGGATCTCTTTTGCAATTTTATTGGAATAGTTCTCTTTTAAAGAATTATTGAATTAATCTACCGAGTACATTGAAATTACTAAATAATCGAAATCTCAAGAAATACCTTGTTATCTGGAACTCAGCATAATTGCTCGATATTTTTAGTATTGATAATATAATTCGAGCAGAACCTGTGGCATTTAATAATAAAAAATTACGAAAGGGTCAATTTTGTTGAGAAGTGATACAGTCAACGTGTTAAATCTATCATTTCATCGTAGAAACGAATCTGAATTCCAATCGTTACAGATTCACGCGACCATCGGTCTGTCCTTATCAAATAAAAAATAAATCGACGTCTCGCGCTCGCGCGAATCTTCCGCGTCGTTCCTCAAAGCCGGCCGTCGCGCGTTACCCTACATATATCCTCCCTTTTCATCGTTGGTTTTACTTTAAATCTGCAATGCGTCTATTTACAATTTAAATTTACCACGAGCACCCGTTGAATCGACATTCCGTTATAAATACGTAATCAACGCGGTGCGTGACCGCAGTCGCGGGCACTGGGAAAGGTGGGCCGTCGATTTGTCACGTGTGCTCATCGTTTAAACAACGCTGAAAGATATTAAAACGAAGATTCTTCGGAACATACGAAACCTTCGACATATGAAGCTAAATTATATATCGATCGCTTAATTAATAGAAATTGCTAAAACAGAAATCAATTGCTTAAACGGTAGAAGAAATGGGAACTACCCTAATTAACTCTCTGCGGAAGATTACGAAACGTACGAAACCTTCGACATATGAAGCTAAATTATATACCAATCGCTTAATTAATAGAAAGAAAGAAAAACACGTGTTTATCTCTTACTGTTCGACTAATTAGATCATTTTTCCACGACTTAGTCTTCCAAATCTGAACATTTCGTCTCACCGAAATGCCGACATTCGTCCTCAAAGGGTTAATACAGCGTCAATAATTAGAAAGTTTGTATCCAAATATTAGTCCTGTGACGATCTCGTGTTCGAAGTAAGAAACTTTCCATTAATGAACTCGCGAATCAAAAATAGCAGAGTAACATATTTAGAAAGTCACCATATTTGAGAAGACGCCAATTTACGTCAGCGGTCGCGAATGCGTTAACCTTTGAGTAGGTTTCACAGATTTATATATAAACTACCGTAAATTACTGAAACCAATGAAATATTCGTCGCGCAGTTGACACTATCGCTACGTAGAGACACTTAAAGAAGTAATAACGATTGAATGCAATAAATCTCTGGATTAGTATAAAGGTCAACGATCAGCCACGGAGAAATCGTAAAACAGAATCGCTTTACCCGTAATCTCGTTCGTTCAACGGATGCTCCGTATACGTACATATAATAGATTCATATCGATAAATGGTAAGCGAAAAGATCAAAATGTTGGAATGACTATTGTCGCGGCGTAATCATCTGTTGGACTGTTAAGCTCGAACTGGACTCGGACACGCCTTCGTCGCGAATGATTCGTTAATACCCTGTACGACGAGCAGAGAACCTCGGCTAGAAAAGCAAGTCCAACGGTAATGTCCCTTTCCTTTCGATTAATTCCTCGATCGGCGGTTGAACCCCGGCGGATCACTGACTCGAGCGGAAACACGTGTTCCCTCGATGGGAAGAGAATCATCCTCGACCGGAGAACGTTCGAACGCGAAGCAGGAAACAATCGCGAAACGAATCGTCCTCGTGTCCCTTAACACTTTGACTGCCACGTCATTTTGTTGTAATTTTTAACGTAATCTTGATCATTCATTTTCTTGGCGACGCATCGAACTAAGTTTCGTTGAATGTACGAGATAAGGAGAGTAGTAATGTAATCGTTACGAAGAATCTTGCTTTAGTTTTTGCTTTATCGAGAGAACTGTCTCGATTGCACGGGAGTTTTGATGGTTATTTACTTGACAGTCAAAGTGTTAACACTAGAACTACCGTACCAGTCAAAATGACTGGTTTCAATAATTTTATCTCGCAATTATTGATATCTTAACACGTCGAATGCCATGGGGGTCACTGTGACCCCCAAGCGAATCGAATTACTATAATTCACTCAATGAAACGATGATTCGCACACATTTATATATTATAAATAATGCTATCCATTGCGGTGACATTCAGGTTGATGAACGTGCAATGATAATAATCCAATTCAATCAAATGATTTAATATTGTACCTTTTCCATTTTGTGTATTTTGCTCTATGAAATCTTGCGGCGTTCAACATGTTAAAAGCACTACTCGAAATGATCTTGAAAGTAAGTAGCTTCAGTTGAATACTATGAATGTCTGAAGAAACCGAGAATAATCTATTACAATTTTTATAGATTACATATCAATCGTATTAAATCCTCGGTAGTTCCAGTGTTAAATCAGTGTAAGTGCTCGTCGTCCGAGAAGACTTCGGAACTTCGACTAATTAAACTTCCGACGGCGTTTCCCGTCTTGAGGCGGCATTATTAAAACCTCCCTCGTTTCCCAGAGCTCTGCTCTTAAAACCAAACGTACCGAATCGGACTACGAATCTTCAACTTCGATTTAATCTTCCAATTAATCAGATTTCCTCTCCTCCAGCCTCTGCTTCTACTAAGAAAATAGTCCACCTCGTCCACCTTGATTTTCTAACCAGTCATTCCACTGATTATAACTAGGTATGCACAAAGTGGTACGTTTAGCGTTAACCTTTCACACTCGAGATGCTACAGGCCAACGATATGCCGAAGGTCAAACCGTCTGAATTTACAGTGAAACCTCAGCCGTGTAATTTCGCGTGTCATTGATTCACCCGTTGATTTGACCGGTCAAATGAACAAGTTTACTATTCACCATGGCGACGAGTTCGAGTGCGAAAGGTTAGACTCCCATCGAAGGGAACAAATGTTCGACGATCGCGCCGATCGAAGATCCTCCTCTAGAAACCTCTACGATCGATCGTAGAAACGGAAAACACCGAGGGAAACGAGGATAAAAATTCGTAACGAAGTCCGTTCTCCATTCACGTGTCATTGATTTCGTTGATTTGACTGGTCAAATGAACTTGCTATTCACCATAGCGAAGAGTTCGAGCGCAAAAGGTTAGACTCCCATCGAATATGGGATCCTCCTCTCCAAACCTCTACCATTGATCGTAGAAACGGAAAACACTGAGGGAAACGAGGATGAAAATTCGTAACGAAGTCGGTTCTCCGTAATCGCGCCGTTGGTTTCCGCGGGAACGACGGTTCCTCTTTCAGCCGTCCCCTCGACGAACGAGAAACTCGTTCCGTCAGGGCCGCGGTGTTTGTCGCGGAGCGTTCCATTTGTCGAATTAATCCGCGACAATTATGTTTTTTAATAGGCGCCGCCGAGCCTCCGGGGAAACGATTACACGGCGGATGCCTCTCGGCGCGTGGCCGGCGCTCCGCGACCTTGTTCCTCGCTCTTTCCCGGGGCTTGAACGAATTAAAATCGCTGTGAACCGAGCGCGAGGGTGCTCGACGCGTGGCGGGCGTGAAAAGTCTTCGCGAGGCATAAAAACGGAAAAACGAGCGGCCCGGGGAAAAGATGGGAATTGTATACGCGCGCGGTTTATCCGGCGCGCCCGGTTCCCCCCTTTCGTTAATTACAACGCCGCGAGGAGGAAACTCTCGCGCGATAACGTCGGGATTAGCGGGGGACGACCGCGTTATCCGGGATTAACGGAACGCGCGTCACCTCGACGTTCTTTCTTTCTTTTTTTTTCTGTTTTTCTCTCTTTTCCTGCTCGCTCGTCTTCGAAAGACCGCACGCCCGTGGAATTTCACAGCTTCGAACGCGTCGCGTCGGCGTCGCGTAATCGCGAGCGATCCTTTCAAAGGTGAAAGGGAAATCGACTGAAAAACCGATTACAGTGGGACCCCTTATAACGCGAGAGACAGTGCGCACCGCGTTCGCAGATTTCGCGTTAAACCCTTGACCTGTGTGTAACGTCTGTACTGATGAAAATTTTCAACTGAACTCGAGTTTTTGGAAATATCAAGGACACCACTTTTCTATCGTCGATCGTTAATTTTTGGAGTAAATGTGGATATAATAAAATTTGTGCTTTTTCTGAGAAACTATTAAGTTAAAGGAATAAAGAGGACAAGGGGTTAAGTTCTACAGACATCATTTGGATGCTGATTCAACTTCCTGTTTGTACTAGTTTCGTATGAAGACTCTCATCTTCACAGTTTCTTTAAATTTGTCATCGCGTTATACGTGGTCCCACTGTATTCTACTCACTCGGTGAGTATCGTGCTCCATTGAACTAATTGCTAAAACGTACGCGTCGTTCCGACGATCCTAGACGGTTTCCCTGTTCCGCTCACTCTTCGGGAACGACGTGTAATTGTAACTCTGGTAATAATCAATATTTCTTTCTTATTGTATAATCACAGTAGAACCCTATATACGATTAAAAAGTTCAATATATTCTAAGTCAATTCCATCCACTCCGATAATCCTTCAATCGCCCTGTTAGGTTCTACCGTATCACTTTCCACCTCTCAAAATATAATATAGAGATCAAACACATCGAAAACTGAAAATCATAGATCACAGTGACATTTGAAAGGATTCCAAAGAATTGAAAAAGCGTCGTTCCCGAAGGATTTCCACGGATCTCGTCTGCCGCAGCTCGGAAATAGTTGATCCCGCGGATCGAGTTGCCGTCGGAACGCGCGAGGAGAAGATTATTTCTACCCGCGACGGAAAACTAGTCCTTTGTCGGCTCCGCGGTTCAAATTGCAATTCAAATGTCCCTTAGTCGCGGGAAAAATGGAGATTTAACGATTCCAGGCGGCGGCCTAGAAATTTCACTGGCGCGCCTCCTCGAGGAGATTCGTTGTTCGCTCGACAGTGCCGAGGAGAGCTTCCGC